TACATACATACATACACCAACTATTATATATATATATGTATATATATAATATATATATATATATATACAACATACATATATATAATATATATATATATATAATATATATATATATATATATATCCATACATACATACATATATGAATATATATATATATATATCACTAACCAATGAGCGCGTAACTATATTGGTAGAGCACATGATGTTACAGAGAGATCGTTCGCATGTTATAAGTGATGTCCATCATCATTTTCGAATTGTAGGGCAATATTGTTTTGGTCCCAAAAGCTTCGTCCAAACTCCAAAAAACAACTTAAACGTGTCCGTTAACACTTTTTAACAATGTCAATGGAAGAAGACGCGTTAAATAGATAGGTACAAAATCCATCAACGTACTACTTTGATCGCAAAAGCTTTGTCCAGATTCAATACTAATATAAGAACAAGTCCAACAACATTATCAAACAATAGACCAAAACGGGTTGGACAGATATATGTGGATCGTTTTGTTCAGATGCGTGCGTTGCATTACGAAACAGTATAGAACCCTACAAGAACAACCATCATAGAAGTATTCGACACTTGCGATGTAATATACCAGACTTTTAATGTAGTTTACGACACTTTTTAATATAGTATAAAACACTTTTGATGTGCTAAATGACGCTTTGAGGCACTTTATGACACTGTTTTGAGAGAAGAGACAAAACACAGCACACTACCTTCTCGAATGTGATTTTTCCCTTCGTCAAAGTGCGACGGAACGTGTCCTCCTCGTCTTGTAGAATTTCTTGGATGAGAGTCTGAAAAACGATGGACAAATAAATAGACAGATTGATGAATGGATATATATATCTATATCTTTATATATCTATATAGATATAGATATATACATATATATATCGCAGAGTAGCATGAATTCAGAACAGATACCTATTTGTGCAAAACGAAGGTACATACACATTCGTTGGGAGTTATATACATCCAGCAGTATTTTGGCACATACACACTGTAGTCCTATACATACGCACGTATGACCGTCGTGCACATCCTCAGGCGGTTTATGCTTGCATCAGGTATTCTACCACACATGTATGTATGATATTTGTACATATACTCTCGGGCTTAAATACACACAGTAGTCGTTTCTGTACACGATGCCAATGTATTGGAAGATAAAAATACCTCGCTCTTTCGGAGCTCGGGAAATGCATCTCCGAGAATCTCTATTACGGTGGGAACCAATCCCTGGGAGAAGATAGAGAAAGAGCAGTCAATTACCACAATACAAGAAATTGATTGGACAGGGCTGTTCTATTTATAGATGAGATGTGTACAAAAGGCGTAGCCGGGATCTTCGCTCTTGCGGGGAGCAGTCCGTATAGACGACAGAAGAACGGCAGTGCATGCAATTACAATACTACCAGAAGTGGTATGAGGCATAGACTCTTCTATTTTTAGAACCTACCAGGATATGTATAAGCCAAGAATGTTGGACATAACACCAACCAACCGATGTGAGTACAAACTGTAGAGCATCTTCTTAGAAGGTCAGTATGTTTGTACCGTTGCCTATGCATGGTTTCAGTCTACATATAATATACACATCACTACACCAAGTCATAAACCCTCTCAGACGGTGGTACGTGTTGAGTGCTGCAGATACTCAAAAGGCGCAACCGGCACAGTCAGAATACCCGGGTGCTTTGACACCGCTCCGGTTGTCCATACAAATGTGTAAAGCTAAATAGCGTTATCCGTGAATTAAAAGGACAGGCCTATTACTGTGTGCTCCTTTTAAATGGCACGCGTCATGGAATATCACACAGAACAAACTTACGGCGAAGGTGCCGGACTTGCCATCCAGCTTCTCCGAAAGGTACCGAACCGCACGACTGTACAAAGCAACGACACGCAGTATTAGTGCCAGAAAGTAGTGCTAATTAATAAGTAGAGCAATTCTAATGCCAGAAATTAGTGCAAATAAATATGTGGAGCAATTCAGGTACCAGAAATTAGTGCTAAATAATATGTGGAGCAATCTAAGATCCAGGAAATAGTGTGGTGCTAAATTGGAGCAGTTATAATGCCAGAATTAGTGTTAACTAATATGCAGAGCAATTCGAAGCTTAAATGTGTGCGTATGCACCACACAATGTCTCACCGGATGATACGCCTCAAGACGTAACCACGGCCAACAGAACTGGGAATGCCGCCGTCACTAATGGCAATACAAAGTGTGCGGATGTGATCAGCCACCACTCTGTAGGCCATGTCCAGACCATCCTTGTCCGCGGCACCTGTAGGTATTGGGTAGTGTACAACGTCAATACAAGTACATATACATATACAAATATATTGTGTGATATAGATATAGATATAGATATATATTATTCATACAAGACATTTATGATACCATTGTCTTTCCATACCAAATACCGTACGGTAACACCCACCCACGTGCACACAACCTGCTAAATATAGAACTATCACTCATTCTATATATAGAACTGCACTCACCCACTTCTCCAGTGTATGGCCTCGCGCCAGTGGCCTTATGTAGCGCAGTGAACAGAGGTACGAACAAATCGGTGTCGTAGTTGGAGGTCTTCTCTTGTAAGATGGACGTCACACGCTCCAGCCCAAGCCCAGTATCGATGTGTTTATTGGGCAAGCTCCTGTATAAGTAGCGGATTGTTTAGGTAAGTCTCTATGAGTATGGATGTTTGTTATTGAACGTACACAGATGTGTGTGTCGTATGTTTAGATGCGTCCATGAGCATAGATATGTTATTACTTACACAGATGTATGTAATCAATATGTATGGGTGACGGGTTCCTGCATATGTAGCGTTTTGTTTAGTCACGCATACGAGTACAAGCACATGCTATTGTAAGTGCGGCAATATATGCATTTCGTATCGTCGTTTGCTCAAACCGGTGTCGTGACTAAACCAAGCTTAAGTAAGATCCGCGGTTCGAGCTCAGGTTTGATGTGGTGGCATGAAAGATTACTGTATAGTTAGTGGTCTGGAGGTCAAGTCAGATATACGGCAGGTCACAGTAGAACTCCCTATATACACACACACACATATGTATATATAATATATATATATATATATATATGTGTGTGTGTGCGGATGTATGTATGTATATATGTATGTATGTATATGTATGTACAAATACATATATATGTATATATAATACAACATAAATTATACCTTAAGCTGCCATCGGACTCTCTGTTGAATTGGATGAAAACCAAGTTCCAGATCTCCAGCACATCAGGGTCATCCATGTTGACCAGGTGAGCTAAAAATAGATTCAGTCAGAAACTTATTTTTTACATTCTTATAAATATACGCATTGATTTAAAAATGGACGATTTAATATTAAAGATATATAGATTAATCTAGATGAGTACTTGGGTTGCCGGTTGATAGAATAGATTGACAATGCATGCATCCAAATAAAAGCCGAAATGACACGACAAGATATATGGCTGATTCAACGCATGAATCAGAATACACACACACGTATATACATATATATATCTATATATTTATATATACATATATATATATACATATATTTATGTATATATATATTTATATTTATAAATACATATATATATAATGCACACATATGTATTTTCATACATAAATATATACAGAAATACGCATACACTTGAACAATACATACACACAAACATATACGGGCACACACACACACACACACATACACTTTCATACATACATACACACACACACGTACACACGCACAAACATACACACCTGCATGTCTTCCGCCAATGCGATCGTAGTGGATCTCTGAGCACGGTCCACAGGGTCCAACGTCTCCCATCTCCCAGAAATTGTCCTATTGAAACCGTAAATGGTAACCAAATCAGACGTTTTAGGGGTTTAAACCCTAAACCTTTTACTAGAGCGTTCTCGTGTACGAGTAAGGAATGATAATAGTCATGAATAAAAGCAAAGCACAGTATAAAAAAGGAGCACTTATCTGGACGCCAATGAATGTATTCAATAGACAATCGGGAAAAAATGAATGCGGAAAATATAAGTATCTACCGGCGTATGCGCACAGCAATATATGAATACATAATATATATATATTATTATATACATACATACATATATA